ATGTGCTTCTCCTCCTGCCAAGGTGTTGTCTGTGCCTATTGCACTAGGCTGCCTCCCAAGCTCTAATTATTGAGAGAGCTGCTCTTCCATTCCTTAGGTAGTTCTTGAAGCCTGAGACGTTACTGACTCCACTACTTGTCTGTTGTAAGGGTGGTGGTCTAAATGATGCCATGAGGCTGGAAGCTTTGCCAACGTTATTTCAAACACCATCAGGATCTCCCACAGTGAAGAGTGGATCTTCCAGGTTAAAGCGACTGGGAAGAAGGACCTAGTGATCTACTCCTGAAACCACTGGCCAGTGACAAAACCTGTGGACACCAGAGAAACATTGCCAGGGAAATGGCCAACAGAAGAGCCCTGCCGGTTGGAAGGCTCACCTAACATGGCTAGGGAGGAGCCGCCCCCTCAAGGTGGATTCCCCTGAAATAATGGAATGGAGCAAGAGCTTTCAGGACCTTCATCTACGAGGTGGGGGGGGGGGGAATGAATCAAAACAAGAAGCATCAGCTGCCACCATCCATTAATAATCAGAACACGGAATTGTATGGTGCATGGAATCAAGAAAAATATGAAGTGAAATAAAATAAAATAAAAAGTGAAAGGAAACACTTGAAAATCAGTATTAGAGCTTCCAGAGAGCTAAGATGGACTTGACCATGTTCAACCAGACAATCATACAGTCTCCCATAGCCAGAAGGGGGATGACATCACAATCACTGTCTTCTGAAAGACCCTACGTCCCTGCACTCCTCCCTGAATCAATGCAGATGGAACTAAGGTCACACACAGAGCTTTCATTGACTGAGTTTTGGGAAGTAGATCATCAGTTCTTTCTTTCTAGGCCTTCTTAGCCTGGAAGCTTCCTTGAAATATATGCAGTATCAGAGCAACTTGCAGGCCTTTTAGGACATTTGGGGACTTGCTTTCTTTGAGGCATACTGGCTAGACATTGAACTCTGGTCTGTTGCAGGGAAGCCAAAAAGTCTACCACTGTATCACCACTGCCTCCCAGTTTGTCCCCACTTCAATACAGAGAAAACCTCCTGGTGCACCCTAAGAAAAACACACCCTGGACTTGATTATATTATTTATATTCCAGAGTGTGTGGTGAGCCCTTGAGGGCTTAGCAATACTGGCTTTTTGTATGGCTCCTTCCTGCTTAGAGAGGGCTTCTATCCTAGCACATCTGCGGTACCATCAGTGTAATTGTTATCTGGATTGACTTTCATCTGCCTCTCCAGTGGGACAATTCTGCTCTCAAATGTCACGGATCCCCAATGGTTTGCAAAATGACCCCGGGACACAGTCACTCCTGAAGATGAGATTTTCTGAGTTTTTCACGGATGCAGTCCGTGATCTATAGGTGACCATGGTTTACTGCACAGAGCTCAGTTGATGCTGTGTCTTTCCCTGGCTGCTTCCACACAGATAACAAATCTCTCCTACCAATCTCCCTAGTCTTCAGTTGTTTGTTTCAATCCACAATCTCCTTACAGCTTCTCCAGCGCCTCAGGCGCAGCATTTTCAAGTGTCAGCATCTACCGACTTTGCACGTTCCTCTTGGTTTCCTTATTTCTCCTGAATCATCTAGTCTTTTCAGAGGTGGACCCAGTGACTGTGAGTGTGTGAGTGTGTGTGTGTGTGTGTGTGTGTGTGTGTGTGTGGTTTTCAAAGGCAGGCACAGTCACTATCCTTCTGCCAATGTAGGCGTTTGTGCTTCTCTGATGCTGATCAGATTTCAGCCAAGCATCCAGACTATGACAGACCCTAGTGATCTACTTCTCCAAATCAGCCAATGAAAGCTCTTATGCTTCACAATGGCTACATCTGCAATGACTGTGGCGGTGATGCTGGACCAGTCTGAGGGTTTCCTTTCATGCCACAGGGAGGGGGAGGGGGGCAACAGCTAGCATCACCTTCTCTCTCCTGCTTGCTTGCAGGCTTCTCTGGATCCCTCAGAGAACACACTAGAAAGCCCTGTGTGCTGCTTGTGATCAGCAGAGCGAACTACCTGTTTGCCACTGGCTATGTTGTGGCCTCATTTTGTCCCCAAACCTCAACTTCTGGCACCTTTACCCCATTGTTAAACTGCTCCTAAGAACATTATGATGTGATTTTTATCATCAAATACACGCAGCAAACACCCTGCAGGTCCTGTTCTTGGAGGCTGAGAAAGAAGGGTGTGTAGCAGAATCCCCAGAAAGATGTCTTGTGCCTGAACCACAACCAAACAGGCAGCAGGGCAAGATGCTGCTTCCACTAATGCAAAGCACTGGTTGACACAGTGATAGCAAACAATGGAGTGCCTCCGAATCACTAGGAAAACTGCAGTCAGTGACTGGCCCTCCAGTTCCCCTGTCTACCTTCACTGGCACATGATATGAATCATGAGGCAGAAGGATGATGGGTCACTCTCAATTCAGCTATTTGTGTGCAAGCCTAGTCTTGTTTGGATACATAATCAACGCTCACGGAAGCAGCAAGCAACAGATCAAACGTCGCAGTGCACCGGGTCAATCTGTTGCAGGAGACCTTTTTAAAGTGTTGAAAAGCAAGGATGCTAATGTGAAGCCTGACCCAAGCCAAGGGATATTCAATCACCTCCTATGCATGTGACCTTGAGTAAGGAGGACCGAAGAATCAATGTATTTAAATCACAGTGCTGTTGAAGCCTACTGACAGTACCATGGACTAGGAACAGAGCGAGCACATCTGACTCGGAAGAAGTAAAGACAGAATGACGAGCCTTCTTCTCTCACACTGTGGACATGCTGTTAGGAGAGACCAGTCCTTGGAGAAGGCCATCGGCTCGGTCAGTTAGGGGAGCACTGAGAGACGAGGACGACGTTCAACAAGGTGGATGGACACCATGGCTGCAAGGATGGGCTCGAATATAAGAGCCATTCATTGTGTGGAGGGTGCAGGATCAGGCAGGGTCTTATTGAGTTGTACATAGGGCTGAGGCACGATGATGCAGACTCAAGGGCACCTAAGAACAACAGCAACAGCAACCTGTGATTCAAGCAGTGCTGGGCTAATTGCTGAAAGGCTGCGGTTTCAAGTCTACCCAGAGGAGGTGACTTGTAAGAGCAGTTTAGCAATCTCCTTCTGAAAGGCCACAGCCATGAACACCGATGGGGAATAGACACTCTGCACCCTGGCACTTAGGGGGTCTCCACAAGGCAGGACTGAGACGACAGCAGCGGTTTATGTTTGGGTTTCTTTACATCAGTGGTTCTCAACCTGTGGGTCTTGACTCCTTTGGGGGTTGAGCGACCTTTTCACAGGGGTCGCCCGATTCATCACAGTAGCAAAGTGGCAGTTATGAAGTATCATCAAAAATAATTTTAGGGTTGGGGGTCACCACAACATGAGGAACTGTATTAAAGGGTCGTGCACGAGGAAGGTGGAGAACCCCTGCTTTACACAAACCAGACCATACAGCCGACTCCCCCATCCTCTCCTCTTGTCCTGATGTGGTGTTAGAGAGGACAAACAAAACAAACCATGGGCGACTGCTTTGAAATCCATGCCCTATGCTATTCAGAGGGTAAGGTGCTTATTAAGAAGGCCTGGTGGTACTGTGTGGATTAGGCACTGGGCTGCTAAACCCAAGGTGGACGGTTCAAACCCACCAAATTCTCCTCAGGATTTGAAACTGTCTGCTCCCAAAGGGATTTGCAGTCAAAGAAAACCTATATTGAGTCGCTATGAGTTGGAATTGACTCGATGGCAGTGGGTTGGGGTTTTCATGTGCTTATCGAGTTTTAGTAGGAGATAAAAAAAATCTGGAAAAGGGAAAGAACACATGATCCAATTTGGAGTTTTCCACACAACTGTTTGGTATGTATTCTAAAATAATCATTGTCTTCCTTTGCTGGCAAAAACACCAATGCTTCATTTGTTCCTTCTTTGCAACTACTCCAAGGGTCTCCGGGATTGTGACAGAGAGCAGTGCAGGATGTGAAAAAGAGCCATGCTACTGGGCTATGCTGGAAGTGGTTTCTGACAGGCCTTTTCTTTCCTTTGTCACATACCTCCAGGCTCCTACTTCACTTATCTGTGCAGGAGCCACCTTCTCTCCTATTCAAATCAGTCAGGTTGTAAGGAACTATTGTGAACTCCCAAGAACGATATAATTACTTCATTGTAATAGAATCTTACTACATATCTTGAGTAGTCCTTTTCTAAGGATACTTGAGAGTAACTTTGGCAACTGAAAGGAATCAGTTTAATATTAGAATCTACTTATATATGGCAGAATCTGAGGGTGCCAGCAGAGAGACGTATTCAGGAATCAGTGAAAATAGACATGTATGTATACTTATCTATATATACAGAGAAATAAACACCTACCCAGACACACATACGAATGGCACATCTCAAGGGAAAAGTCATAGTTTTGAAATACATAATTTAAAAAAACAAACAAATTAGAGACCTTTGCATTTATCATCTTAAATATTCTAAGAGACTCAACAGTACCAAAGCGCACACACCCAGAACCCTGACGCAGTAGGGCATTCTCTTTGAAAACTTTCATGTTTACCACATGATTCTCTGCAGCACATTGTTCCCTAACAATAGTCAAAAGGTTATTTTAGCCCAGGAATTGTCAATATGTGTGTGTATAAGACTCTTGTCCCACAGAAGGGTTATTACTTCTAATGCCAATCATCAATTCCTTTCTAATTTATATATTTTGTGGTCATATACACAATTAATGAGTCACATGTCCATCTACTTATATACAGGCTGCCACAAAGAGCTAATAACAATGCACCCAAGGACAATGGACTTGCGTCAGTCTTTCATAGTGACACCAGAATAGACCTGGTCAGACCAAAGGAGAGACCAGTATGTCTTACAAAGGCATTTACAGCCCCAGAGTAACAAGAGGTTGTCAGCAAACCTCCAATGAGAAACAAATGAGTTTTCTGCGTGCTTCCCCAGCCAGTCTTTCTGCTACCAGTAAGACAAACACCCTCAGTTGGCCTTACCTGCAGTGCACAACCATGGGGCCTGCGTCGGGTGGGTTACAGGTTTTGACTCTCCGCAGGAAAGCTAGGAAAGGGGTTGGGTGCTCTGGAACCCCATGATCAGGCCAAGCAGTGAACTGGAATTGTCTCACTTCTCTCTTCTCGCTGGAACCATTCTGGAAAGAGAGAAGAGAAGCTGAACTTCTGGTCTCCCAGCCTTAGGTTCCGAAGAATAACAACGTGTGGACCCGAAGAACTAGATGGTGCCCAGCAAGCACAGCGGGTCATTCTGATAAGAGCTGGGATAAACAGGCCCTCATACAATGGGAGGAACAACAGAATGGGACTCAAAATTCTGTAACACACCCAAACCTACTAGATCAGCTGAGACTGGAGGTTTACTTGAAGCGATTGCCCATAAAACACACCTCTTTAAACTGAGAAGCACATCTATCTGTGAGTTCACCTTTTCACAAACTAATTGGGACACACTCCATTAAGAAAAGAAACGATACGATACCCAGAGGTTAACAATGGGTCTGAAACAAAGAGGAGGAGGAGGGAAAGTAGAGCCTGAAATGGAAAAACTAGACTGCAATTCAAGAGCGTGCAGATGTCACTCACCAACAGTGTAGAACTTATCAAATGGGAACCTACTTTGCTGGGCAAACTTTTCACTGAAGAGCCAATAAAATACTATGTATGGATGTGGTAACACTGAAATATGCTGTCTTAATCCCACTCACCCATGCCCACCACCCTGCCCTCTATCCCTTGGGAAGACAATACTCTTGGGGAGATAAGATTCTGGAGCCATTGGGAAGTGACAAATACTTGCTCCGGAAGTTAACTTCCTTCTGTGAGAAGCAGCCCATTTGTCAGGCGTAGCTATCAGGAGTGCTCCCATCCTATGTCACGGGAAAAACTAGCTCTTCCCCATCTATTCTTCATTTGATGAAATTTTCATTTTGAGCCAGGGTTCCGACTCTCCTGAGAAATCATCAGATCTGGGAGAGAATCGCTGAGTGATCAGGGAAGGATTATTGCATCCTTTACCACTGACGGTGGGATGGGGAGTTAAAGAAAATCCTAAGAGCTCCCATAGCTCCAAAGACACTTTCTTGAAAACAGCGGGGCACCGGAAGGGGAGGAAAGCAAGCACAGGCAAACCTTGTACAGGGCAAACGTGCGCACGCAGTAGGTGGCCAGCTCCACGGTGTCCAGCAGTGTCACCTGGACCAGCCCATGGGTCTCTGTGCCTCGGCTGGGCCAGTACTGGTCGCACTTCACCTATGAGAAAAAAGGGACACAAGACATATGCCCATCAATTTCTCTAGAAGCTTTGGCACTCGTTTTGGGGTGATCTTCTGGCTTGTGCTTCTGTTATCCCAATATATGCAAATGATGGCTCTGATGCCAAGTTCAACAACATGTTTCAAACTGGTAGGCATTCTAAGCAGGAACAGATTCACTTTTCCTGGAAGGGAAAAAAAAAATCACTTCCAGATTGAGGCTAAGTGAAATCCGAAGAGGGGGAGAGAAGGAGAGAGAAGGGGAGAGAGGGAGAGGGGGAGCTGAGAAGGGAGTGCAGAAGGGAGGGGGCTTGAGGGAGAGCGAGAGAAGAAACTTCAGCGTATTGAAAAGCACATGCAAGTTTGTTCCGGGACAGGTGCGCTTCAGTGACAGGGGGAGGGGGTCGCCCAGCAAGAATGAAGAGGTGCATGCGACTTCATCTCGAGCCATTGTGGTTTCCATATACGGGTGTTCACAGAAAAAGTGAAACGATTTGTACACCCATCAAAGCACCATAAACCACAAATGGATTGGGCTCTTTTTTTAAAAAAAAAGTTAGCTAAATGGCATACTTTATCCCCAAATGCGACCTGTAACTTCTAAGGTACAAAAGGCTGTCTGCTCTTTATAAATAGTCACAGAAAACCACCTATTGTCATTGGGCTGTTTAAAAAATGTGCACACTACAATTTCTACATAGAGTTGAGGAAAAGTCCTTAAAAGGTATTCAACCCAATTAGTTTCACACGCAGCCAAAAACAGTGCCGGTCTTCAGTCAGCCTCCGACAGACTGAATGTGTCCCGTGGGCACTGGGAAATCTAAGAAAAATGGACACACCTAATACTACTCTATTTTCAAGGAAGGCTCTGGATCCGAATCCATTTGCCCTTTCTATTTCAGATGAGAAGGGAAATGGGAGTAATTCTTCCATCAGACCAACAGAATGCCTTTCTCTCAGTGCCGGCGTCTCCAGTGACTGTTTAAGGTCAGACCACATGCCTTCTCCTTGGCAGAGAAAGGCGCACAAGTCACAATCTTCGGATTTAAACAAAAATAATAAGGTGCTCTTATGCCCGACATGGGAATTTGTGGACCCGTGAATAGAATTACTAGACAATTATTTGCTTTCAGGCAGACTAAATATGAGGAACATCTGTGAGTAATATTCTAATTTTCCGTTTCACAGTCAGAGTGTCCGTTCCTCAGAGAACGTACTCTCGAACCAGATGTGGGCCCTGTAAGAAGGAAGCGTGGTTTTCTCCTCAGCACCATCTCCGAGGCGAGGAAAAGGAAGACCGAGAGCACCTTACTGCCCTGCTGTCCAATAAACCAGGCAGCGGAGGCACAGCGCTTGCCCCCAGTGCCCGTCTAACACCTGTGAGACACATGGCCCTCACCCACTTCTCAACGAGTGAACCAACAAATACGTTTTCCTGTGCAAGAAACATTTTGTTTCTTCACATAATATTTTCTGGGAATTCTCTGCATTGTTCCCTAGACACACACATATTCTGCTGTGCTTCTAGCATGTGCTAGAGTTCAAAGCCAAGCAACAAATGGGCAAATCAATACTTTCAGGAAATACTGGTAGAGCCGGGCTGGGGTTGAACACCCCCATGTGCTCTCTGACCCTCTGTTAACTCCCGGGTCCTAGCTGAGACGCTCAGTGAAGACCAGCACCCAGTGAGCCAGTGTTATACAGGCAGCACTGGTGTCGATGGAAGAAAAATCACTAGGACTCAGTCAGAGACTCTACCCTCAACTGTGCAGTAGATGTCAAGCTGATGTCTTGCTGCAGAGGACCAAGGTGACTTTGGAAGTCTCATGTTGCAACGTTTGGGAGGATGCAAGCCATGTGCTCGCTTAGGGAGTTGTGAAAGAAACACACAGCCATTAGTTAGCCATTTCCAACGGGCGTGTGACACGTTTTCCAAATTCAAACAACCACATCAAATGTGAAGTGTACAAATCCCACCATGAGTGGGCATCGAGGCAACAGGCGGTCATCAAGAATGTTAGGTCCAGCTGATGCATCCCACCAAACTCTGTGTGGGGACAGTTCAGAGCTGGGCATCGGCTCCCTTCAGGCTTTTTGGTGACCAGGATAAAGGAAAGGGAGGAAGAAATGGAAGTCACCCTGCAGGGATGTATGGGAAAAAAAACCCAGTTCAGTGACTTTTCACTTCTAGGCCTGCTCTATCCCTGCACCGTCTAACAGCCAAATGCGTACCAACGTTTCTCGTTTAGAAATACATTTGGCAAGGGCAACCAGGATGGTTTCAGTGATAATCTGACTCCTTCTGGGAGGGTGGGTGGGAACCACAACATGCTACTGTGAGGAGTCAATACTGGGATCTCCTCTGACCACAGTCCAGGGATGTGAAAGCCTTCCTTTCAAACAGAGAACATTGGAAAGACAATTATGGCAGATGCTGTAAGGTTAAGATGTAACACCTTATCGTTTTATCTCCCTTTTGACCAATTTTAGATTTGTTCCAGATTTCCATATTTTATGCTTTCCTTCCTACTAAGGTTTTCCTCTGAGGGATTTTTTTGTGCTTTTTGTACAAACATTTTATTTTATTGTGGCTCTTATAGCTCTTATAACAATCCATACATATATCCATTTTGTCAAACACATCTGTACATATGCTTTCCTCTGTTTTAGTTTGTCATTGTTGTTTTTGGCTTGACTGTGTTTTGAATATTTTGGTGTGTATAGGAAATAACAGAATAGTTAAATCTATAGAGTTAATTGGATTGATAATTACCTACGACATGGCAGGGGAGTCTGGGGAGTGGGGGTGGGGGAAATGAGGAGCTGACAACAGTAACTACAAGAAAGAAGAAAACATTCTGAAATTGAATGTGGCTCTGATTGAAAAACTCTTCTCAATAAGATTGAACTACTGAATTGTACGATATGCAAATTCAATGCCAATAAAAAATAAAAATAAATGAATGAACATAAAGGAAAGGGGGAAATTGCACTTGGACTTAATGTAAGCACGGCAATTTAATCTGTTTATCAAAAATCTGGCTTGGCAGGTTTCAAAAGTCAACTGCAAATGCTGGGAGCAATTTACAGGAAGATGTCCATTTAGACATGGCCATTTCCCCTCAGGAAAACACTGGCATTTCCCAGAAGGCTTCTCCGAGGAAGGAGCATCCCAACACTGGTGCACACGCTGGGCTTGGGGACTGCAGGCAGCCTTGCCTGAGCGCATCTCAACAGAGACCTCTTTTCTCCCTCGGTCTGACACCGAGTCTCTAAGAAGCCTGCACGGAATTGATTGCCATCCTGAGGCTAATTGTAAAGACTTAGATCTATTGACAAATACTCCTACAGTCTTTTGTTTACAGCCACACACCAAGCACATGCTTCCCGGTCTTAACACGAGAATGTCTGAAGCATGGTGAGAGAAAAGAAGTAGACAAACATCACGAGAAGAAACAATTTTTTTTTATAATTAGTGAATGCAAATGAACTATGTCCATACTTCTCTCTTGAATTGCTTGATTTGGATGACAGTTCTCACCCTCCTTTTCATATCCTGGAAAGACACCTCAGAAAGTCTGCAGAGAGTGACTGTGTGTTGGGGAGCCCTGGGGCGGGAGGGGTTGCAGGGCTGGACTGGTACCGCAAGGCTGGCAGTTGAAACCCCACCAGCTGCCCCATAGGAGAAATTTTCTACAAAGATAAAGAGCCTCTGAGACTTTATGGGGCAGTTCTGCTTCATCCTACAGGGTCACAATGAGCTGGACTCTACTAGACCGCAGTGGATTTCATGTTCTGCCTAACTCTGTCAAAATTCACGTTGAATGCTCAGGGTGAGAATTGAGAAATCCAAGCTCTTTCAGTCTCTAAGAACAAGAAGGCAGAATGATTAGATCGAGCTATTGGTTTGCCTTTCCCCATTTGATTCTTAAGTGGCCTTCATGATTCATGGAAGTTGGGCAGGGCCTTTTTGGATTGCCAAAAGGCTGTTCCTCTGTTTCCAGGGTCAAAGCCCCCAGCTGGGAACACGATCTTTAGCAGACAGGGCTCCTATAAGGATGACACAAGCTGAGCTCCAGACATGGAACCCAGTACCCGGTACACAAAGACGATCCAGGATTGCCGATGATAGCTGCCATCCAGTCAGATCTCCCGTTGAAGACCTTTGTGAGAACCCGGCCTTGCCTGGTCGTGTGCCACTTTCATGATCATTGGTAGGTGGGATCCCAGTGTGTTTGTGCCAATAAATTTCACGGAGCGGTCACTCTATTGTTCACTGAACAACAGCACTGGTATTGTGGTTGGTACCACTGGGTGGATTTCTGACTTTCTGAGTCCCCTCGCCCCATAGGATTTTCTAGGCCGCTATCTTTACAAACACAGACCACCAGGCCTTTCTCCCACGAGCCACCCTGGCTACCCTGTATTGGTAGAGTACGGTCTCGATTTCCTGTGGTTGTTAGAAATCATTAAGGCATTCTGAATGAGGCTGGGGGTGGGGGTGTAGAGGGACATGACATCATTTAAAAAGATATTTACTTAGGACCTCTGGGAGCAAGAAAATGGGCCCCTGAGGGGTACTGATGGCATGACTCCATAGGCTGATGGTTTGAAACCATTTAGCGTGCTCCTCAGAGGCAAGGATGATAAGACATTACCTTAGGTATTTTGGACATGCTGTCAGGAGAGACCAGTCCCTGGAGAAGGACATCATACTTGGTGAAGTGGAGGGGCGGTGAAAATGAAAAAGAGGAAAACCTTTAGCAAAATGGAATGACCCAGTGACTGCAACAATGGGCTCAGGCACAAGAACAATGGAGAGGCTGGCACAGGGCTGGGCAGAGGTGTGTTCTGCTGTGGATGGAGTGGCTATGAGTTTGAACCGAAGAACAAACCACCACCACTGGGGTGATCGGCTTCCTTAAAGCGCACAGCCAAGAACCCCCCGGGGAGTGTGGGAAGTAGCTGCTACAGGGGCACAGAGGTGAAACCAACCTT